ACACACACACACACACACACACACACACACACACACACACACACACACACACACACACACACCCACGCACGCACGCACGCACACACACACACACACACACACACACACACACACACGCCGATGCCAGCATACACACGGGATGCCCGCAACAAATGATGCGTGAACTGGCAACATACACAAGCACATACCTGAAACATATCGTAACCGCCCTGGAACGTGTGATCTAGCAACATACATACACCGATTCCCCCAACAGGTCTTACCACGTTGACATGCGACCTCGCAACATACACACGCCGATGGCCATAACAAATCCTACCCCCCCGTGATGTGTGAACTCGCAACATACACGCCGATGAGTGTAGCAAATCGTCGCAGCATACACACGCCGATGCCCGTTACAAATCGTACCTCTCGTGATGTGTAATGTCACAACATACCCAACTCCGACGCCGCATGGGCTTCACCAAAGTGCCAGTGAGAACTTCTTCTCCTTTCCACCGTTAACGACAGCTTTCCATGAAGGGCCAGGCAATCAGGCGTCCAAGAAGTGCGGCAGCAGAGTCCATGCTAGTGTAACCCTCAGCAGCGTCTACTTTGAAGAACGTGCTGCTACCCCGCCCGCAGAAGGAGTCAAACTGGCTTTTCAGCCACCTTTCAATACTTCATCGTGTGTAATTATGAACCACTGAAGAGATCAGGATAGGCTGTGCAGCTGGATATCGCTTGTCGCCGCGATGAGCCAATCTTCGCAACAAGGAGATATATTGCACCACCACGAAAAAAGAGTGAAAGCCTTTTCCTGTGACGCCAACGGGACTGAAGCGGGTGGCGAAACTCTCCTAAGAAGAGCCTGGCACTGGCACCGTGCGGCAGAAGTCTTCGACTTCTGCCGCAGGCCGCAGAGTCGCTCAAAGGCCTGCGGCCGAGCATTAGAACAAGACGAAGGAGAGGGAGTTCACCTGCAAACGCCAAGGGAATGTCCAAATGGCCGCTGCTGCAACACCCCCCTTTCTTCCTTCCCTCCGCAAGTCCTCCGCCCGCCTTGGCACGGTGGCCCTCGAGCAGCCGCAGGTGTCGGCCCGTCTTCACGTCCCAGGTCCGCAACGTCGAATCCCTGATCGGATCTATCGAAATCTATCTGCATCTATATGTGTATATCTAATAAATGTATATACATAGTACATCATCTATACAGGAATGTATTTATGTACGTACGTTTGTAGAGCGGGTTGCTTCAACTTCTGCGCTGGCAGGTACGGGAGCTGCCTCGAGCAGGTGGCCACGAAGCTGCCGTCGGCAGAGAAGGCGGCGAAGAGGACGGAGCCCGAGTGGCCCTGATTCTGGCTGAGCTCAGAGCTTTCATGAGCCTAGCAGCCTAGCAAGACTCAGCCAGGGCACAGCCAGCGTGCGGAGGCAGTCACCCGTCTGGGTCTCCCAGATCTTCGCGAGGCCTTGGAAAGGATTTTCCTGACGGCACGTCGCGTAAGTGACGTATCGTGATCACTTCTGGATCTCGGTCGCTGGCGATCTAGAGAAGCCGTCACCACCAAGCGGCCGTCGCCAGAGAAGAAGGCGGACTGCGAGACGTGAAAGTGTCGCGGGCAGTTGCGGGCCCACGCAGCAGACGCCCGCCTGCACGGTGTCCGTGTGCCCCTGGAACTCGCGGATGCAGGAGCCCGCAGCAGCCTCCGCCACCATCCACGCAAAGAGGAGCTGCAGAAGAGAAGAGAAGCAGCGCCGGTGCAGCGGTGCAACAAAGCAAAGACGCGTGGACCGCGGACCCCGCCCGCGCCTCCCAAAGCCGAGCGGAGCGGTCTTGCGAAGCGGTGAGAAGTCTCAGGCCATCCGGCGACCAGCTCACCTCAGAGAGAGCGAGAGAGCCCCGCTCGCGGCCGGCCGGGTCCCGGCGCCCTGATACAGAGTCGCACTAAGGACTGCGGCGCACATCACGTTGTCCTCGTGGCCCTCAAGCACCGTCTGCACCTGCCCACAGAACAACACAAGGCTTTTTGTGGGCGACCGCAGGCCGCGGCCGCGGCGCCTGCCCTTCGAGGCTCCAGACCGTGGCGTTGTTGTCGGCACCTTCTTAGAATAGGTGAGAAGACTTCGCCCGTTTTTGTCAAAACAGTGACTGAGATCACTGCTGGCGGTGGCAACTTCCTCCTCTTCCGGAGCAAAGGCCGCCCAGAAGATCGGGCCTCGATGTCGCCGTAAGACTCGGGCTGCTACGCAGTGACCGTTGTTGGTTATAGGGGTGAAGAGTGACAGCACAGAAGCACAAACGGACACCCTGTGACAAGACCTGGTTTCGCATCTCTTCAGGATCGCACTGACGCCGCCGGGAAGGAGCTGCAGGCACCTTTCCAAGACGAGACTTTCAAGAGCCCTCGAGCGATCACTCATGCTCAAACCGTCCGGCGCCTGCCACTGGCCAGATCCCATATCCTGTCCGGAAGTGTAGACAAGCCAGTGTTGTTGCGACAGGAGCCCCGATCCCATGCCGCGGCAGCGCCTGGCGCTGCAGTCCAAGCTTGCGGTAACGGCCAAAGACTCAGAGAGATTAAAGCCGCAGCACGTAACCTCGGCAAGATGGACACTGAGTGCTGCTGAGTGAGTACCTCTCCATCCTATGGCCAGCACCCAGTCCTCGTGGCCTTGCAGCGTCGTGAGGCCTCTCAGAGTCTCTCTTTGTTTGGGGGCGCCGCTGGCGCTTGCGCGCTCTTCCTGGAGCCGAGAGGCAACGGCCCGTGGCCGTCTCCCAGACTTTCGCACACCCGTCCGCGCCTTAAGGGCGGCGATGGAGCGAGGCTGACTGTCTGCAAGAAGCTGAGAGTGGGTTTGGGGTTTGGGGTGGAAAAAAGTGCTAGGGAGCGAGGCTCGGCTC